GTGTTGCATAACCGGCCCCGGCCCGCCGCAGAGGGAGAGGGCCGTGTAGGGCCGTGACCTTGAACAGGGCTGGGGCAGCAGTGGGCAGTGGCGGTGGGCAGCAGGGATGGGGATGGAGAGATGGATGGAGGGATGGATGGGGGATGTGAGAAGGGACGGGGATGGAGATGGGGACAAGGCACGGGGATGGGGACAGAGGGAGAGGGAGAGAGGGACAGGGATGGGGATGGGGATGGGGACAAGGGATGGAGGCAGGGATGGCAGACTGCAGGCAGGGACAGGGATGGGGACGGGGAAAGGGATGGGGACAGAGGGAGAGGGACAGGGATGAGGACAGGGACAAGGGATGGAGGCTGCGGGCAGGGACAGGGACAAGGGAAGGGACAGGGACAGGGACAAGAGAAGGAAAAGGGACGGGGATTGGGATGGGGAGAAGGGAAGGGACTTGTATAGGGACAGGGACTGCAGGCAGGGACAGAGACAAGGGAAGGGACAGGGATGGGGATGGGGACAGGGACACAAGGGAAGGGACAGGGACACAAGGGAAGGGACAGGGATGGGGGACTGCAGTCGGGGACAGGAGCGGAGACAGGACAGGGACAAGGATGGGGACAGGGGTCTGTGAGCAGGGACAGGGACAGGGACAAGGACAGGGGCAGGGACAGGGATGGGGACAGGGACAAGGGATGGAGGCAGGGATGAGGGACTGCAGGCAGGGACAGAGACAAGGGAAGGGACAGGGATGGGGGACTGCAGTCGGGGACAGGAGCGGAGACAGGACAGGGACAAGGATGGGGACAGGGGTCTGTGAGCAGGGACAGGGACAGGGACAAGGACAGGGGCAGGGACAGGGATGGGGACAGGGACAAGGGATGGAGGCAGGGATGAGGGACTGCAGGCAGGGACAGAGACAAGGGAAGGGACAGGGATGGGGGACTGCAGTCGGGGACAGGAGCGGAGACAGGACAGGGACAAGGATGGGGACAGGGGTCTGTGAGCAGGGACAGGGACAGGGACAAGGACAGGGGCAGGGACAGGGATGGGGACAGGGACAAGGGATGGAGGCAGGGATGAGGGACTGCAGGCAGGGACAGGAACGGAGGCAGGGATGAGGACAAGGATGGCGATGGGGGCAGGGGGCTGCAGGGAGCGACAGGGATGGGGACAAGGGAAGGGACAGGGCCGGGGGCTGCAGGCAGGGACCGGACTGGAGGCAGGGACAGGGACAGGGACAGGGACAAGGGAAGGGACAGGGACAGGCATGGGGGACTGCAGGCAGGGACAGGGATGGGGACAGGGATGGGGACAAGGGAAAGGACAGGGATGGGGACAGGGACAAGGGATGGAGGCAGGGATGAGGGACTGCAGGCAGGGACAGGGACAGGGACAAGGACAGGGATGGGGACAAGGATGGGGACAGGGGTCTGCAGGCAGGGACAGGGACAGGCATGAGGCAGGGACAGGGACAGGGACACAAGGACAGGGTCAGGGGCTGCAGGCAGGGACCGGAATAGAGGCAGGGACAGGGACAAGGACAGGGATGGAGGCAGGGACAGGGACAAGAGATGGGGCACTGCAGGCAGGGACAGGGCTGGGGACAGGGACAAGGGCAGGGATGAAGGCAGGGACAGGGAGAGGGAGAGGGACAGTGAGGGGCAGAGTGGGGCAGGAGCAGGCAGGGACAGGCAGGAGTAGGGAGGGACAGGCAGGGACAGGCAGGGTTGGGGTCGGGAGGGCGGCAGGGAACGCGGCAGCAGGAGCAAGGGCAGGGCGAGGGCAGGGGACAGGCAGGAGTGCAGGCAGGAGTGCAGGCAGGGGTAGCACAGGGCCACGGGACAAGGGACGGGGGAAGGTGAGGGTCAGGGCAGGGGCTGGGGTGGGCAGAGTCTGGCAGGGAAGTGGGCTACGGGGCAGGGACAGGCAGGGACAGGCAGGGTAATGGGGTACAGGCAGGAGACAGGCAGAGGTACAGGCAGGCAGGGATATAGGCAGGGGTACGGGCAGGGTTATGGGCAGAGGTACAGGCAGAGGTACAGGCAGGGGTACAGGAGTATGGGCAGGGGTACAGGCAGAGGTATGGGCAGAGGTACAGGCAGGAGTATGTACAGGCAGCGAGACAGGCAGAGGGACAGGCAGTGGTACAGGCAGCGGTACAGGCAGGGGTACAGGCAGGGGCTCCCGTTGAGGTGGTGCCATGCCATGCCGTGTGGTGCCACCACTGCCTTCAGGGTACCACTGACCGGGTGTCCCCCCCACCCCCACTCCCACTCTCCCCTGCCTGCTCCCTGCCCGCTCCCTGCCTCCTCCCAGGGTACCTCAGCGAGTACATGGCGCCGTCGGCGTACGAGGGGGACGGCGAAGCTGCGCTCAAGGTGCCGTCACCAGACGCCATCTACCCCAGTGGTCGGGGGGACTACGGGACAGGGGACTCGGAGCCGCCCGACAGCCCCCACTCGGGTATGGCAGGGGGTTACATCAACGGCGATGCGGCGGTGAGCGAGGGTTACGCCGTGGATGCCTTCTTCATCACCGACGGGAGGTCGCGGCGTAAAACGGGGACGACGCCAGCGGGGAGCGGGGCGCGCGCCCTCCAACGCCACACTTGCGGGGAGTGCGGCAAAACCTACGCCACCTCCTCCAACCTCAGCCGCCACAAGCAAACCCACCGCAGTCTGGACAGCAAGATGGCCAAGAAATGTCCCACCTGTGGCAAAGTCTACGTCTCCATGCCGGCTATGGCCATGCACCTCTTGACCCACGATCTCAAACACAAGTGCGAGGTGTGCGGCAAAGCCTTCAGCCGCCCATGGTTGTTGCAGGGCCACATGCGGTCCCACACCGGGGAGAAACCTTTCGGTTGTGCCCACTGCGGCAAAGCCTTCGCCGACCGCTCCAACCTGCGCGCCCACATGCAGACCCACTCCGCCTTCAAGCACTTCAAGTGCAAGCGCTGCAGCAAGACCTTTGCCCTCAAGTCCTATCTCAACAAACACTATGAGTCCGCCTGCTTCAAGGGGGCCGGCCC